GGGGCTAATGAGCTTTTGTCCCCTCTCGAATGGTATGATTGCTGTGTGCTTTTAAATTGTGGTACTGTTTTGTTTTGAGTCCCCTCCGGGGAAAAGGGCGGCATAGAAATACAATCAATCAATCAATCAATCAACCAATCAGTCAATCAATCAATCAATCCTGGTGTTTCAACTGGAAAGTTTAAATCTCACAGTGCATAATCAGATTTTTTTTAAAAAAAAATGAATCTCTCCAGACTAATTGGTCTGATGGTTGTTCTTCTTGCAAATCAACTCTCATAATTTTGTTTCTCTCCACTCCACCCCCTAGGTTTGTGGCTGATGCAAAAGCTGAAGAAATCTGGCTCCCTTTTGCAGCTGACATTCAGGGACAATGCCGATCTGCGGAAGTGTTTCCTTTACCAGCTTAGCCAAAAAACAGGTGGGTTTTTTTTTTTTTTGCAACAGATAAGAAGGTACCATGCCTGACCCCTTATGATAGAAATGGGGAAATGATTCTTGTCGGTAGTGGGTTGCTCTTACATTCACTACCGGTATGCTGCTCGTGGTCCATTCGTGCATGCACTGGATGAGCGCTGTGGACGTGCCTGATGTGCACTGCGCACACATGTGCACTCCAATGCCCCTGCGACACCCAGCTGCTCATCAGAGGTCGCACAGGCGCCACACACTGTGCGTGCATGTGGAATTGGTCCAGTTGCCTTAAAAACAGATGTGGAACATGGGCGGGCAGGTGGGCCAAAGGAATCACCATATTGGTGCAGTGGCTGCTGCTCCTGACTACTACAGGTACTCCCGTACCATGTCGTACCGGCTGAAACCCACCACTGGTTCTTGTGTAAGAAGAATGACAGCGCTAAAAATAAAAATGGCTTATGAGTTATGACCATTGGCCACACTTGTGACCATCACAGCATTCCCCACCTCCCCATGGTCACCTGATCAAAATTCCAATGCTTGGCAACTGATTCCTGTTTATGACCGTTGTAGTGTCCCGGATCATGTGATTCTCTTTTGTGACCTTCCGACAAGCAAAGTCAATGGGGAAGCCAGCTCCAGTTAATAACCGGGTTACTAACAGAACAACTGTTATGATTCACTTAGCAGCAATGGCAAGAAAGGTCATAAAAATGGGGCAAAGCTCGCTTAACAAATGTCTCACTTAGCAACAGAAATGTTGGGTTTAATTGTGGTCGAGGATATCCTGTATATCTCTTACTATGTGATATTCCAAAATTATTGTGCAATAGGAAGAATTTAACAGCAATTTTACTCATGTCTTTTGATGTAGGGGTTAAGTCCTCAACTTTCTAATCTGAAGAGATTTGCCATAAATCTCTCTCACGCTCTCTCTCCTCTCTCTGTTTCTTTGCCTCTCTCTCTCTCTCTCTCTCTCTCTCTATGTTTCTCTCTTTCTTTCTCTCTCTTTCTCTCTCTCTCTGTGTTTGTCTCTCTCTCTTTCTNTCGGGGAATAGGGCGGCCTACAAATTGAATAAACTCCAAACTCCAAACACAAAAATTACAGCTGTCACCCAGAAAGGCCTGTAAAACGTATTTCTAAAATTTAGCACTTCCCCATTTCTGAACAATTTATGTTTCTATTTTAGGTACATTGTTGTATTATTTTAAGATAGTTGAAGAATTACTCTAACAGTTCTTAAGTTTTTATGCTATGGACCCCTTCAAATAAGTAAGAACAAGGGGAAAATGTGCTTCCATTTATGTACATATTTCAATTGATCTATTTGGTCTTTCATGAAATTACAATGAATCAAAGGTAAAAGTTGATATGAATTAATGAATATGCTTACCAAAGCTGGAACAACACTCTTGACTGGAAAACCTCCTAAAGTTTCTTCATTACCCATGACCAATAGCTGACACATTTCTATCACTGACTGTAACTGCTGGCTTTCATCAGTGGCCTGAAGCCCTTGTAGAAGTTGCTGAGCTTTAGAACCTAAAAGAGGAAGAAAAATAAAAAAGGAAGGAAGGGGAAGGGAAAGGAAGAAAATTCAAAGCATATTAAGAGCCGTAGTGGCACAGTGGTTAGAATGCAGTATTGCAGGTTAATTCTGTTGGCTGCTGACTGTCGGCAGTTCAAATCTAAACTGGCTCAAGGTTGACTCAGCCTTCCATCCTTCTGAGGTTAGTAAAATAAAGACTCAGATTGTTGGGGGCAATATGCTGACTCGTAAACTACTTAGAGAGGCCTGTAAAGCATTATGAAGTGGTATATAAGTCTAAGTGTTATTACTATTTTTCCCCTTTTACAACAGGTATTTGATTATAATAAATAATAACTTTATTTGTTCCTTATTAAAAATTACAATGAGAACCCAATAAAATTAATTCATCACCATCCAATGCCAGCTTCATCAACATCCTAGACCTGGCCTGGGAGTGGGGGGTGCCAATCTTTACTGCCTTCTTGAAAGTTAATAGGGTGGGATCCATGGATATCTCCAACTGTTGCATTTGGCAGGTGCCATCACAGTATTTGATAAGAATTTAAGGTTTGTCTATAATCAATTGATTATATGAATGAAGACTCACTATCTTAAAGTACTGTAAAATATGAAAATCAGTCTACTTACTAGCTCCACTTCCAATTGTTCTGTGGAATAGCTGAGACATTCGAGGACCAAGAGGACCAAACAGATGTGGAGGGAGTCCTCTAGCTTCTAACAAAGCTAGAAATTTAAAAGAAATGTAAATCTCTTCATTAAACCGTTTGTATTATATTACAAGCTATGATTTGCATAATATAAAATTTCCTTTTGTAGCATTTAAATGATTGAAACTTATGCTGCATTTTTATTCTACAAGATTAATTATTATTAGGCCCAGTTATATATTTCACTTTTGCAGAATCCTAGACATAAAACAATTTTCTCTTGAATGCCCCTAACATTGTAATTTATCACCATGCAGTTTTACTGAGCAGACATCTGTTTGTTTCTGCACAAAGTTTTACATTTTGTAAAATTTTGAAATAGTCCTGTTAGATAAATTTACCCTTTACTTATCTAAGCCAAAATCAAGAAAACCTGCTCTTCTTCCATATTAAAAATAGCAAAATTTGAATGGAAAATTTACATTCCTATGAATAATAATGGATTTTAATTTCCAAGAACTTTCTTTAATAGGCATGCCAATAGTCAAGAATGTGAAGAATAGGAGTACAAACAAAATCTGGAAGTCACAGGTTCCCCCAAAACTTGGGTATTTTGGTTAGGTGAACTGAAACCATCTTTGAGAATAAAAGGGGACCGAGTTCTAAAGAAAATTATATAGCTACATAGATTGCTGGACTCCCTCTAGTAATAAATACCTTTGAATACTAAGGAGAGAAAACCGGATGCTACAGAAGTAAAACAGTTTCTAAAACACACTTTCCCTAAAATAAAATGGATTTTACCATGTATTAATATGATTTTTTAAATTTTAATAATAATTTCAATGGATTTATTTATACCAAAGATGATAGATATGCCACTAGTTTTAGCAGACCTTTAATTACATGTTCAAAAATGGCCAACCATTTTCTTCAAGTTATAGAAATAAATTGAGTGAACATCAACATCAGAAAAGGCTTCTAAGAAAGGCTTCAACTGTTTAAAAGAAATCTAGAGAGTTATAACCTTAAAGTTGTTATTTGTATAAGGGAAGCTTAATATATACCTTGTAATCTTCCCATCTCAGAATCATCTGATTCACTTTCACCAGAGGTGGTCATACCCACAGCCCCAGCAACAGAACTAGAAGCTAATAAAAAACACAAAATAAATGGCATTAATAAGTCATGTAGCTTACATACTTACAATCTCAAAAATCTTCCTGCCAAAGTTGTCAACGAAAACCTTTAACAACCTCAGTAGAAATTGGAATGGGCATACAAAACAGCAGGTTTATTTTTAGTTTTGACTTACACAGTATGGAAAGACTGCACTTGAACAGCCGGTTTATGCTTTCAACCATGCACGTGACTGAAACATTGATTTTTTACTCATTCTGATTTTTATTTGAAATAAAAGAAAAACAGTCAAACAGAAATCTGGCAACTCTATAAAATATGATCAGAATCAAGTGTTCACCACAAGGGCTTGACAGATCTGAAATTGTAGTATGAACTTATTGGTATAACATCTGCACACACACCAAAAAAGAATGAAAATTACTATTGTAAAGAAATGTCTCCCCAAAAATCAAGGAACTTATTCACATCACTAAAAAACTTTTCCCAAAGAAGCACAATGCAGTGATTTTGTGGTATCTGTGTCTATACATTCAGAATTAAGTTCTATTGATTGCAATGGGGTTTCATTTATTATTAAATATGTGTAATATTGCAGCTGAACCAAAAACAGAAAACTACAATGTCAATCATTATTCTATTTAAATCAGAAAATAAACTACAAAATAAGCCTATTGATCATCAAACATTAACAATTTAATTTCTTTCATTGCATTTAACAATATTTTTATCAAAGTATGAGAATATAACAGATCAAAATGTATTTAACTGGGATCACTATAAGGAAACCCTGGTTGTTTTTAAACTGTACTAAAGACACTGGAAACCAGTTAAAGATTCTTTTGAAATATTTTTCCATTCTCAAATATTATATTCACTTAACAAGCAATAGGAACTGTCACCTCAAATTAATTAATAGTGATAAGGGCTTTTATTTAATTTCATTGATAAAACCTTGAACAACTGTACGTTATTAAAAAGAGAATGTCAGGAAGAAACTTAAAGCTCCAATTAAATTAATTAATTAATTGCTAAATCATGACAATGCACAACAAAGTTAACTATCAATTAACATCTGCTTGTGGTTACATAAAGCCCTTAAAACCTGGCTGTTCCGACAGGCCTGGGGCTAAAGAACCGTTGCCCCCATCTCGAATGCTATGATTGTTGCGTGTTTTAAATCATG